GGGCTGGGCGCCTGTATTATACTTTGTACTTTTGCCCAAACGTGTAAATAATAAAAAGTTTTGGCTTTTTTTCTTTAGAAACCGGCCACCTGCTTCCCCTGCGGGGGCCGCTGGAGGAGGGGCAGCCGACCTGGCGGTTGGGGGAAGCGCCAGGGTCCGGGACACCCGGGTTTAGCCTGGGATCACTCCTCTCCTTTTCCGTTCCTTTTATTTAAGTCGTTTTATTTAATAAAAAAGTTAGCTATTTCACTTAACGCCGCTTTTATTTCGTTTTCGTTCCAATCATGCTCGGCGACCCCCGGCCTTGCACGGTAGGAGCCGAGCGGTGGTGTGCGGGGGCACGTCCACTTCCCCGAGGTTCTCCGGTATTCGCGTCAACTCGAACCCCAGCCCCGGGCCCCGCGGAGGATGCGCGGTGCAGGTCAGTTGGTGCCGGCTGCCCGCAATCGGGTGCGTGAGGGGACGGGGAAGGGCCTTGAGAAGGCACTGGAGGTCAAAGACCAGCGCCGAGGAGAGCTGAGGAGGGGAAGGCCAGGCCTGGGCTGGTATCTAGGCCGTCGCCAGGTCACGTTCTCCGGGTGGTGGATACGGAATAGCATCTAACTCCCTAGAAGGCAGGGGAAAGCACGGACGGACCCTTCCGACACACGACACACTCTCGGAGGCCGCGGGCCTGACTCGTGGACCTGGCTCTTGGGTATCCAGGCGCACTGTGAGCGCAGAGCGGGTGCATGTCCTGGGTGTCCAAACGCCTGGAGAGCAAGAGCAAAGCCCAACCCCAGGGTCCCGGCTCGCTCTCGGGTTTGTGCGAGACCCCAGGTGGGGTGTGACGTCCTGTGACGTCACTGCAGCCTCCTTAGCTTCGCTGGACCAGAGGGGGCGGGGCGCCTGGAACACCCAAACCCAAAGCCTGCGGGCGGCCGCCGCTAGGCCGTGTCCTCCCAGGTTTACAGCCGCGGGAAGGTGGACGTTTCGGGATTTCGAAATCAAGAGCAGATGGCCCCTTCTAACAACGACAAACATACACCCAGGACGGCCCTAAAATTTTCCTCTTGCCCCTTAATTTTTGTTTTTAATCATTATTTCTTTTAGAAAAGTTTCATGTTTCCTAGCCTCTTTTTTTATGTCTCTAGGATATTCTCTATTTTCTTAGCTTGTTACTCTTGGTCTTTTTATTACTTTATCTTTTTCCTTTTGTCATGGTTTTCCGATTCTCTACGAGGTTCCTTCTCTATTGTTTTTAACTTCTCTGCACCCATTTCTTTGTTACATCCTCTCTCTGCCTCTCCCAGACTGACTTCTGTCTCCCTTCTCTCTCCCCCCTGCGACCCCACCATTCTCTCTTTTTGTCTCGGCTTCCAGAATCTCTTTGCCTGTGTTTCAGACTTTGTCTCCTTTCCCTTCTTTTTCTCCTCCCTTACTCCCTCCCCCAGGCCTAGCTGCCAGTCGCTTTCCAAGGCTAAGCACTTTGTCAGGGGATGTCTGTCCCAGGGGCCTAGGAGCGGCCCAGGTGCAGCCCCAGCTCACTCATTTCCCGGCCCTGTGCCTTCCTGTGGGCTCGATATTTGGGAGTCTTCGTTATATGCGGGCTGAAGGATTGTGTGCACTTGCTGGGCTGGAGGAAGGGGAGGGCGACTAAGAAACACACCTCCAAACTCCCAGCTCTTCGACCCTCACCTTCACCCCAAAGCCGGACTAATCCAGAGTCTGAGCCTCTGGGGGTATTCAGACTTACAGGGAAGAACCAGGGTAACTAGGGGATTCGGGTCTTTTCCATGAGTGTTTTCCTGAAATGATTTCATTCTCTCTGCCAAAAAGTCCGATGGAAAAGGTTGGCCCTTTGAGGACGAGAGACACCTTCTTTGCTGGCTAAGCAGATCCTTGGGGCCTGGCCTCACTTTTCAATTCCCCTCCATTGAATTCTATTGCTTCATAATAAGGTCTACTGTTTTGCTTTTCTAAATAATTTGTGTTATATTGCCAGGGCGGTCCTCTTGTTTCTTAGAACTCTTTGGGGACTCACCCACGTTGTCTTTTTGTTTCATTCAGGCCCCTCGCTTTGCACAAAAGGTCTCTGGTGGTGGGCGCCCAGGCAGGCAAGGGGTTGAGGACCTGGTGTTCTCTGAGGCCCTTCACCCAAGGCCGCCGTCTCTGAGCACTTTGCCCCAGCCAAGGCTTGCCGAGCCAGAGACAGGCGAGGGGTTTCTTCGAGTCAGAGGACTGAGCCCACACGTGGGTGACCAGAGCAGTGTGGACGCCCCCAGTGGGTAGGATCGATTGCCAAGAAGGGCAAGGCTTGTGTAGCGCCCTACCTCCTCCTCCCGATGTGCAGAATCTCTAGGGGTCCTTTCTGCTGGGAGTCTCAGGGCGCCGGGCTTAGAGACGGCTCTGGGTCTCCGCTCCTAGCGCGTTCATATTCAGGTGGCGCAAGCCCTGTTGAGGTTGAGCTTAAGAGGAGAGGAATCTAGAGTAGTCCGGGAGGCCACGAAGGGTCGCCTGCTTAGCGATCTTCTCCCAGCCATAGGCCCTGGCGAGTCTCGGGAGGCCGGCGGGTGTATGGGCGCCCAGGTTGGTGGCCGAGGGAATTGAGAACGAGAAACAGCGCGCTTCTAGACAAGCTGGTGTCGTCGCCTCGCCGCCTTTCCAGCTGGCCTTCCTGGGCCTCGGGTCCAGTGGCTCCTAAGCCACGCCCATTTTACAGATGCAGACCAGGAGACCAGAGGCAGCTTCGCCCCCGGTACCCACCAGTCGAGCGGGTTCTCCCGATGCCCTGGCTTCAGGGCTGTACAGAGGCTGGCAGGCTTGTACGAAGACCTCGGCAAGGAGGGCGAGGCTTCCAGGCGGAGAGGGAGTTAGGCTCTCTCAGTTCTCCTTGGGAGGCTGTACTAGAGGCCGGGATTGGGGGACGGTCTGAAGAAAGGGTGCAGGGAACTTGGGACAGCCGCCCGCCTCTGCAAGTGGGAATGGTGCTGCTTCAGCGGCTCCTTGGACAGCTGAGGCTGCCCGGGAGTTCCGCTCACAGTGTGATTTAGGAGGACTCGCGCACCTGCGAGGTTTGCCCGCCCCTCCCCAATTTGCAAGGCGGAAACAATAAGGCTCAGAGAAGTTCCGAAATTAGTTTCAGGTCGCAGCCACAGCGGCTCGACGTTCTTGTCCCCCAAATAATTGCTCCTTGCAGTGGTGGGGAGGTGGGTGTGCGTGCGTGTGCGTGTGCGTGTCGGCGGAGAACGGAGCTTGGCACAGTGAAGGATGGGAGGCGGCTCGGGGACTCCTAAAACCACCCCGACACCGGGTCCCCGCTTCTCCTGCTCTGGCGAGGCGGTGGATTAGGTCTCCGAATTCCGGGGACGCCTCGTTCTCTTGCCTCACAGGCTTGCGCGATGGGCCACGTTTGCCATCGATGCAGAAAGAGTGAGACTTGACCGCGGCCTCCGAGAATTCTAGCCGGAGACCAGTGCCCCCGCTGCTCCTCTGGGGCGGGCAACTTCGGGCAACTTCGCCTGTGAGCCTCGGCAGCTTCAGGAAGGGTAGCGCGCAGCTAGGGCGGAGAAGCCTGGGTCCAAGGACGCGCGGTGCTCTATCGGCCGCCAGCTGAGACATTCCCGCCGCCCCGGCCCAGGCTGTCCCCGGCCCAGGCTGTCTGGCTCCGGCTATGGAAAGCAGTGCACCCAGCTTCACGGCAGCCGGGCCCGGTGCTCCGGTTAGGGGCGGTAGAATGTGGCCTCTGGCTTCCTTGAGGGCCTAAATTAGCCAGCATGCTAAAAGGTTCCAGAGAACCCGAAACAAAATCCTCATCTCATCCTCAGGGCCACTAAAACCTTGTGCACCGAGACCCGAGAACCTTAGACGTGGCTTAGGCGCCTACATGCTGGAAAAGTGAAAGTTTCTCATTGGGAGAGCGAAATGCACCCCTCCATTTCCAAGCACCCACTGCATCAGGTCGGGAGCGTCTTCCCTCAGCGACGCTCAGACACAGGCGCCCATGACCTGATTCAGACTGAAAATCCTCGAGGAACTGCTCTCCCGATCCGTGCCTTCCTCACGACACCCAGGGCGCCAGCCGTCCTCCGCTCAGTTCTGTTGTTCCCTTTCCGTGTGTCCCTGAGTCAGTGGCTTGTCTCTGCATCTTGGTTTCTGAAACAGTAAAAATAGGGCGCCCCAGAGAAAGTGGAGGGGGAAAGTGACTTCAGTAAGCTAATGATCAATTTATCATTTTTAAAGCATTTAAAATCTATTCTTGGATAAACATCTAATTAAGCACCTACTAATGACATGGGGGGTTCATCAGAAGTGTCACTCTGTGGGAGGAAAGCTTAGGCATGGAGCAATGTCCTCCACTGTCAGCTCTCCTCCTCCTCTAACGGTGGAGCCCAGACCTGGCTTGATCTCCTCAAACTTGTGAGTATCCTAGTGTCATGTGTAGGCTGGTATCTGCCCCTCATTTGAGTTGAAACAACTGTTCTCAGCCAGACTGGCTACCAATTAAGGAGTAAGTTATTAAACCCCTTTAGTATGCTTCCAATAGAGGAGGTGGAATGGGAGAAAACGTTTGATCAGAGTATTTGAGCCATTCCCCCCTTACTTTCTACCCCATTGAGTCCCCAGAAAGGTCTTGTGTTCCCATTCTACGATGCAAAGTTGTGAAGCTGAAAGGGCAGCAGGTGCAGGAGGTTCACCCTGGCTCTGACTTGGCTCCAGACGTGATGTGCACCCAGGCACTCCATGGGCCGGTAGTGAAGGGCCTGAGCCAAGCACAGAGAGCAGCCTGGGAAGCCCCACCAGCCGCGGGTTCATTATAGAGAT